CAAAAGCTTCTTCATATCAGAGGTTTCTCCCACACTGTGTCCCACTCTGTGGTCTCCTCATGTCCAAACAGAAGCGTCCACAGCTCCTGACCCGCTGGGCCGAAGCTTCCCGGTCCAGAACCTGTGGTACCGGCGCCGTGTCCACTTTGGACCGGAGGAGACCTCACAGTCCCTGTTCCAAAGACTAGTGAATGTTTTAGGACATTTTCCTGATTATAAAAGCAGGAGAAGTGGTTCAGGATGGGAACCGTGAGAATCGGAGACCTGGAACCTGTGACCTCCGCGTTACACAATCCCAGTCCTGCAGTTGGTTCCCATCCAGTCGGTCAGAGACGCTGCTGTACGACCAGTGGAGGTCTAGCCGCCTCAGTGTGTGCGTTCATTAGCGAACAGAGGCGGTCTGTTCAGGGCTTTCAGCTCTCATCACTACTAATGAGAACAACAGCAGTGAAACACTCTGTTCCTCCAGCTCCGCATCAATCACTGACCGCCTCCATTTAGACCTCCCTCCTCCTCCTCCTCCTCCTCCTCCTCCTCGCCCGGCCGCCATTTAGCAACAGACTGAACAGCAGCTAAAAGCAGCTTTTAATGAACATCAGATGGAGTCACTGTCAGTCTGCTCCATTTAACCTCCTCAGGAGGAGAGGAGAGGAGAGGAGAGGAGAGGAGAGGAGAGGAGAGTTCATATGTCCCCTCTATTCAGAGAACAAAAAAAGTGAAGGTTTATTGAGCAGGAAAAACTGCACAAAGAAATGTCATGATTTTAATTCCCCTCATTGGACATAAAATAGACTTAGAAGGGTTTTTACACCAGATGTTCTTCCTGTTACAACCGTAAGTGGAATCTTGGGTTTAGTGTAGTAAAGATGAAGACAGTCTGATACACCCGAAGAGGTCTGCATTGATATGGATGTAAAAATATTTACAGAGTTTGTCAGGAGCAAAAGGGGTTAGCTCTTAGCTTATTTAGCTCCTGTCAAGTTAGCTGATACTAGAAAGATGTAGTCTAGATCATATGACCCGGTCAGCAACAGCTCTGATCCTTAAAAGTTGCATAGGTGAGCTTTTGAGAATGGTCGTCCACATAAAGCATTAAATCATGGCAAGGGCTTTATACTGACTTGAAAAATTATATATATTATATAAATATGTTTAAAAATAAGCTAATATGTACCTTAGGTCAAAATTAATTTAGAGGCAGGTCTTTGGGATTTGAAGAAAAATTTGTCCATTCCTTACTGTGGCTCCATCTATTACCTTTACCACACTGTCCTTATTTTTTCATATCCATGTACAAACACAATTTTGTTTCAGCTTATTGTTATCTGCTGTTACTTATATTCATAATCTGTCCATAGGAATGCTCAAAATTGTTTAATTGGTCTGTATTTGTAAAATGATCCATCAGGCTGTAATTGTGTAGAGATCTCAGTTATGTAGGTTGATAAGTTCCAAACAGCAGCACAAACCATACAGGGATCACCAGAGTTCCTATTAACCTGGTTCTGGTCCATGTTGAACCTTATTTGAACACATTTATGCTCTAAGCAACCTCATAATAGTAGAATTAATTTGCAGAAGAAATTAACACCTTTCCCTACAGTAAATAGTCCAGAGTGTTGAAAATGACAACAAAACCATTATTAATTAAATCTGTCATAATGCTAAGCAAACGACTCCGTATTCAGGTAACAACCACAGAGGAAGAGGATTAGTTAAAGAGTTTAATAAAGAAGGCAGGAGGTGGATCTGGACAGCTTTCCTGTAATTTTGGATTGCTATACTTCTGCTGGGATGAGATGAGAGGAGTTAACAAAGAGCTGGGTAAGATCCAAAATGAATGAACAAAAAAAGGTAACTGGCTTATGGTGGTTATTAGTTAAGTTGCAGGAGGAGATGTTTACCCATGGAGACAGAGACTGTCAGGGTCTGGGTCTACTTGGGCCCACTGTTGGAGAGCGGTATACAATAACAGGCAATTGAAGGATCAGAGGGTTGGCGGAAGGTTGACAGGCAGGTGCAACACATTCTTACTCTCAACTTGTCAAATACTGACACATTTGGTCAAAGCTCCCAGCATGTCTGTCATGATCTTTTCAGCGATCTGACCCACATGCAGGAAACCACTTAGAGAAACCAGGGGAAGCTTTAACAGGTTTTATTGAAAACAAGTCGAGATGGGTCCAGTGTTACTCTGAACGCTGGTGAACCGGCACTGGAAAGTGAGAAGGGAAGTTCAGCGTTTAGTTCAGGCTCAGTGGGAAATTTGAACTTCGATTTGCAAAAGCAGAAACAGCAACTGGGCTCATGTTTCCAGAAAAGGTGTCCTTCCAAGAAATCCAGTCGGTGTAGGTTGTTCCAGAAATAGGTTGACTCGTTGGAGGGAGGACAGGGTTAACCCAGTTTAAGTTGGTTCCTTGAGGAGCAGTGGTGCTGACTGCCACTTAGATTTCCTGTGGTACTTGAACGGTACGTGTGGAGATGAAGCGCAAACAATCCTTTCGGGGGGGAGAAGGCCCAAACCTCCTGTTTGCATCCCCTGCTCAGTATGAAGCTCAAGACGATCCTTCCAGGGGGAGAAGGCCCAAACATCCAGTTTGCAGGATGCCGAGAGGCAAAGACAAATACAACAAGGTTAAGACTCAGGGAGACAAAACCTCAGTTTGACTCAGCAAAATTCAGCTTGGCTAGAGTACCCAAAACTGGCAAACACTCTGGCGTCGAGGTAGTGGCAGTCAGCAGCTTAAGAGTCCTCAGGTAATGAGGCAACCATCCGCAGGTGTGTGAAAGGGCC